CAGCTCCCTCAGCCTTTGCTCATAGGGCAGATGTTCCAGGCCCCTGATCATCCTGCGCTGGCCCTGCAGTCGCCCCCGAGGCAGTGACAGACGGGGCGGCGTTAGGCCCCGGCGCTGCTCTGCTTCTCACGGGGACGTGTGCTGCCCTCGCTGCCTTTCCTGTTGCTGCCCATAMGCGCCTAGCGGCTCCTCCAGACGCTTGTGTGAGACCAGCTGGGCAGACAAGTCCCTGCTGGTGCAGATAAGTCCCTCAACTTTCACGGCCTCAGCTGGTGCCAGTCACACCTGTCCTGGCCCACACCGGGTTAGGGAGGAACTGGGAACTCCCTGGCAGGGGGACAGGGCAGGCCCTGGTGCACRGTTACATTACCTTGAATTTCTAAAGGAGCATTTGTGCCCAGCTGGACAAATACCGGCGGGAGCAATTACCATAACGTGTCTGTTGCTCTGAATAACCTGACTGAGACTTGTCTGATAGCATAAGCTTACCTGATAAGCACTGGTTTAAATAACACTGGATTGGCAATTTTGCTTAATTTTTTTTTCTTCTCTCTTCTCTGTGCTTGCAGGTCAAAAAATCCTTCACCACAGAAGCGATGTCTTAGAAACTGTAGTCCTGATCAATCCCTCAGATGAAGCTGTTAGCACTGAGGTAAGTCAGTCAGAAACATTTCACTGGACTGTCTCCAAAACTCCCATAACATGAACAAGATGACAGCAGCTCCTGGCAGTGGGTGGAGGGATATGTTAGGAGGGAGCATCATGAAAACCCCCATTCTTTGATTTTCTTTCTGGTTTCCCTGCCTTGTGATAGAACAGCAAAGGTGAAGGACAGACAAACATGTCTTGTTCTCAGGCCTGCTTCCCTCATAACCCGCTGACCCCTTTTCCAGCAGAGTGGAGGCAGCTGCAGTGAGGGTGCTTCTGTTCTTCTTCTGCTCCTGTATTGCTYGGTAGCTCAGGATCTCCATTCTAAATGTGAAAAAGTGCCTACAAAGAAAGCAAATCACAAATTTAGATACTTGAGAAGAATGGCCATCTACATGGTGGTCATTCTGGATAGATCTCTGTGACCTACCTTTTCCTCAAAAAAAAAAAAAAAAAAAAAAAAAAAAAAA